GGGTTGATCGGAAGCAGCTCCTTGTGAGCTTTACAGTGCCTTTGACGTATTGATATTCAGTGACATTTGAATTCCACAAGTTTCTCTTTTCAGTTTTTTTCACCATATTCATTGGAGTTGATTTCTGCGGGCACTGCGACATACTGTTGCTATATTTCTTGACTTGTTTGGCTGTCCACAGTGAGTAATTAGCATGCTATGGCAGTGTTTTCAGTGAAAACTGAGATCACCTATTTATGCATGTCATAAGAAAAATATCTCAGTTATTCAGCAGAGCTGCCAAAGACAGAGCTATACCAGAATGCATGATGAAAAAGGTTATTTTTCATTTTTCATCCAACTGACAGGTAGAGTGAAAAACAAGAACTTGCCCCTGTGACAAATTGGTTCTAGTGTACGATTCATATCTTTTCTGGTATTGATCATAGCTGCAATGTCCTGATGCCCAGAGGTGTCCATCATATTGTACATTCTGGTCAGAGTTTGGGGATAAAGTGTGTTTTTTTCTCTCTCTCTCTACATTATTGTAGGTGAATACCACATCCTGTGAAATCCTGGATCTTTACAATATTTCTCAGTGTCAGGAAATGTTACCCCATGGTTGAGCGAACAAAATGTCAAAGGGGCTTAGCTATAAGCCAACAACGCAGCTCTTTATATGGACCAAGTTATGTCTTCACAAGAGGCACATAAAGAGATCATAGCTGCTGTCAGCTGCAGCTATGATCTATTGACTGTTACAACTTGTACTGCCATTGCTATTACTAATTCTGCTACACATATTGCCACTGTATAGACACACTTAAAAGCCTAAAGATAATTCAAAACATATGGAGACAAATATTCAACAATCAAGCCCGCATTCCAATTGAAGCACTCATCATCCAATTAGACAGGGAGCGGCAGATGGCCGTGTGGCAAGGACAGCTGGTTTTGAGGTTTTCACTGTTTGTCTGTCCATCAGCGTGTCAATCATGTGCTGCTCTTCCTGGAGCTCTCACAAGTTTGAGGCTGAGACTGTCAAAATTGTCAGGAATGTGTCATGAGCACCCCGCATCACGGTGATGAGGAGTGATGGTACTTGTGTTGTGATGAAGCAAGAGCTCCATCTAGTGTGTTGGGTGTTGTTCATTATGACCAGCTTTCAGTGCTTCTGGCCCCAAAGGCTTATACCTAAAAACTTCAGATGGATGATTACAGTCTGATGTTTTAAAATTCTGTTCTCAATCTTACCACCAGACTGCACTCCAAAAAGAAAAAAATATGTTGGTGCTGTAAAGATTTGGATGTTTACCAATTCAATCCAGTATATTGGAATGAAATGCACTCTTAAATAAGGACTCACTTTATCAAGGCAGACTAGTGCTGGTACACAATCATGGCTATAAAGAGTTTTATATGGTGTAATACAGTGAAATATAGTCATTGTTTCAGTATTTGACCTGAGTTTGACATAATGGTGAAATTCAGTTTGGATGTGGGTTCATACTTAAGACAGAATTGTATACAGGTACCAGGGAAAAGGCTGAATTACCAGCTGGGAAACATGAGTGACTGCCCCAAAAAACAAGGTTAACAGTGTATGACTCAGATTTTGGCAACTCTTAATGTATTAGAGAATTTACAACACTAAACTACATAATCAACTAAAGCATTCAACTCAGATGTTCAGGGGCAGATTATCAAACAGTGGGCCCCTGGCACAGCTTTGTCATTATTAATTTATCTTAACACTAGGGTTGAGCTGAAAAAGTACAGATATTGTACTTGACAAGAACAAGTACCACCCGAGTAAAATGTGTCCATATCCGTACTGGTGAAGAAGGAAAGTCCTTGTTGTGTCCTCGTTGTGTCCTCGTTGTGTCAGTGTTCAGTGTCTAAAACTCAATTCTGAGGCTTTTCTGTAAATGGTTTTCTAAAAAATAATACATTTAGCAACTTAACTCATATCAACTTCAGACTGACACACCGACACCCTGTTCAGTCCCACCCAGTCCTGGTTTAAGTCCCACCCAATTAAATTTAAACCCCGCCCGTTCTGGGCAATTTAGTTGATGGAACAGATACAGAAGCAGATAATGGTGTACTCGCTCATCCTAATTAACTCCTTTGTTACTGTATTTTAGTTTGTATAACAATCACATGGTAGATAGTCATTTATAAATTTGTGTGGAAATGTTGTAGGGACCAACTAAAAAATTTTTCCCCCACAACCCTCTTACTGATTAATCCAGCCACAAAAAGGCAAATGACTCTTTGTTTAATGTTTTGTTTGTTAAAGAATACGTCAATATGGCACTGTCCAAATTAAGTGGTACCATATGTAATTTGTAAGTATTTTAAAGAAAAAAACAGTGTGTAAGAGGTGTTGGATTGTATTGTATGTGTCTACATTGCCAAACCAGAAACTTGCTTCGGCCACCTTGTTATAAGTCTAACTCATTGTCCAGTGAAATCAACAACAGCCATAATGGAGGGAGGGGAAAAAACACACACACACACTCAAACACACACACCGAACTTCCACGTCTTATCAGCTCAATGCAGTGGGAGTTCTGTTTTGCAGCCAAACCACTGCATACATATGCTTATCTGAGCCTCACAAACACCTCAATATACACCAACCCCGCTTCCACCCATCCACCCCACCCCCCAACACACACTCACTGTTTGTTTCAAAGTCAGGCTCCTGACTGCAGCAGCCTCATATGATTTGCCAGCAAGGAAAAAGAAAAAGGAGGTTGTGGGAAGATGGGTTTGGTCTGTGAAGCGTTAGGAATCAATGCATCCGGGCTGCCTTTGAACACTCACTATGTCAGATCCTGCAATTCAGAAGCAATGACGAAGAAAGGATAAATAGGTTAATTGAAATATGAAGCGAGGGCATAGACAGGAAATCGAATAACCTAAGTGCAATGCTGTTGAGAACAAAATATGTAGTAAAAGATTCCCCTTTGACAAAGGTGAGATTTTAAAAAAGTATTTCTTGTAGAGCAGGTTCTCATGTTCTATCTTTGCTGCGCTGTTACTGTGTGGTGTTTGGAAAAGGTTGGTTGTGGGGCTAAACTCAGAATAAACTCCTTGTTCACAGCAGGGTCAACCAGGGCATTTCAAAGCTTACTCAACAAAGTGTCGATCTCAGCCCATGTTCACCCCAAAATCTAATTCCAAATGCTTTTTATAAGGATTTTTTTCTGAGCTGGCACAGGTGACACATTGGAATATAGTGCCATGAGCCTTTAGATGTTCACCTTCACCACGCTGAGCTCCATTTGGCCCTGCTGCGCACAGCAGGCAATTTCAGACATTTACCTGCCTCTCCCTTCCACAGACCTCACTCTGTTCAAGCTATCACGAGGCTGTCTGACACCATCTTTACTTGTGAATTTACAGACGGAGAGGAAGAGGAAATGGAAGATAGATACCTTTGATCATCACTTCAGTCTCTCTACAGACTGGTGAAGATTACAGAGAAAGAAGAAAATGAGTTATCCTGGCTCCTCAAATGAGAATGAGGTCCATCTCTGTCTGCTGTAAATTAATAGGAATACGACTGCAGGTCAGAGATGATTAAGAGCATAATGAGTCCAGAGAGTAGAACGAGGGTGTACGATCCTGTGATCTTGGCGCAGCATCTTGCAGCCATGTTGTGTTAATCTTAGTTTTATGTCTGGAGTTTTTGTCACAATGTTTTTTGCTATACAGTACAATATAAGTGTGTTTTAATATGGGAAACATAAAGGAAGGACGTGCAGGAACAGGTATGCTGGTGCCTACATGTAAGGAGTGATGTATCTATCTATCTGACCTTTTCTTAAACTGGTTCCACAACATGTAGTGATAAGACCAGCCTTTACATTAGATTAGAACTGAACAAAATGTTAGTTAAACTACACTACAATTTCACTTTGACAGAGACTTTAAAGGTCAAATCGTGTGTCTCTGTATCTTCTTTCTCCAGCCATAGTCACTGAACATCACATACTGTAAATCTGACAACGTGAAACTAGAAATGCCAAATATATGAATATGAATAATATTTTCCTTGCCGGTGACCTTGATGTTAGAATTAAGTCATGGAGACAGGCTGACAGTTTGAGCTGAGGCAGAGCTTTCTGTTGACACCCCACTGGTGAGTCATAATTCGCCGTTGGATATTTTAAATTACAGACTACAATAATTCTCATCTCGGGAATGATTGCCTTGCTTATTTCTTTCCCTAAGTATAAGGAATTCACTGCCAAGCCACCACGGAAACTCCACAACTGACCTTAAAGTTATGAACTTGTTACTTACGACGAGACAAAACACTGAACATTAGGATCATCACGCCAGACGAGCTACTCTGGGAAATTGGGTAAATTTAATTTAGAGCTGAGTGATATTTGTGGATGTGTCCAAGCCTAAACATAACTCTTATTCTTTATTGAGCAGCCTGAAGAAAGTGCATTGAGTATTTTGTGAAATTATGTTTTTTATTATCTATTATTTCAGTGATGAAACATTATGTGCATCACTCATATTGTTTTGGACTCCGCTGGCTAATGGTGGCAGATGCTAAACAGGCAGACAGCGTGTACACACAGTGTGTGTGGGGCAGCATGGTGGTGTGTACACCAGCACCGAGACACACACTCATACATATTCATCTGCTTGACTTCAACCCTTTCCTCAATATCTGCAGGAATGAGGGTGTTTTGTATAAAGACAGAGGCGGAGACAGTATTTATTATAACCTGCTGGAGCCCCAGGAGCTCACCACCTCATATTTCATCTTAATGTATCTTCACTCACAGCCTCACTTTTTTTTCTGTCTGGCCGTCGCCAGGAAAACTTCAGAGGAGAGAAAAAACAATGGCAAAGCAGGTGACTTGGTGTTCACAGTCAGTCTCACCTTGGCCTTATCTGGGGCTTCCATATCTCAACAGATTAAACTGCCTGAATTAGACTGCGCTCTCACCGGACACAGCGAGACATCCCCAGGGAGCCGGAGAGGAACGATGGGCTTTTGCTGGAGCGGGGAGTGTGGCAACAGGCCTTGCTGGGGAGGCCATTATATGCCCGGTTGGGTGGGCCCCACTGTGCTGCTCTGCATCTATGGTTTCTGCTCCATGATGAGGCCTATAGAGCCCTTCATGACGGAGTTCCTCACGGGAACTTACAAGAATCTCACCACGGAGCAGGTGAGGCCACTGAGCTATGAAATGAGATATGTGACTGCTGTACAGTGATGGAAGCAGTAGGTTATTAGATTTGCTCAGTTTTTGTTTAATATACATAACATGAATAATGTAAATGCATGTAGACAAAGTTATGAATATAAAGTATGAATAACAATGGTGGATGTTTGGTTTCATGGTACATTTGTCCAAGTTCACTCAGAACTACAGTTACTAGTTGCTTTAATGTAATACCTTTCAAATTATGTTTTATTGGTTGCAAATGTAATATGTAAGTAAATATATATAGTCAGCATACCATTAATCCATGCCATTGTGATATACAAGTACTCTGTTTATTACTACAGTGTTTTCCAGATGGCTGTGCTTTTTTTGTTTACATGTAGACTGGCATGTCATCTTTTTGTCCTTTTTTAGACCCATGAGGGAAAAAAAATCAAAAGCACAATAGTAAAACAAATATAACTCTAAGGCATTAACAGCCCCCCAGTGACTGCAGTGTTCACTCAGCCCATTCACATTCCCAGGTTGTCCAGCACTGGCGCTTTGTCACGCCACTCTGTATCTGAAACGAATGCCAAAGTCACCCTTTGGCATCTTACTGTGAGACTCACCAGGCTTTCAGCTAACTTTATCTGTGGCAATATTTGATGCTTAGAGCAAGTGACATTGTGTAAAGAGCAAGACAGTCCTCATAAGCCAAGAGGGTGGGGTGGTATACTTATATATACTAACTGAACTTTTTTTTGTGGGAGTAGAACTACAATCTAGCAGTCACCTTGTTTGATGATCAAAATAGAATTACGCAATTTGGGAGTGGTGTGCATGAGCTCCATGGTTACATGATGCTTCTCTCTGTGCAAACCACGGACTGTATACAAAGATGGACGACGCTGTACCCGCCACTGTATAAAAATGAAGCTAAAATATCCCAGATACAGCCATTGCCATCTTGCTCTGGTGAGGTAATTTGGAGCCAGAATCTGTGCAGTAGTCATCTCCATGGTGTCAAGTTCCACCGTCTGACAAATCACCAGCAGCGTCACTGATCGCGAGCACACCAATTGGCACACAGAGCTGTCAATCACAATGTCAACCCCCCCCTTGACAAAACTTACCAGAAAAATGACCACTTGAAAATACACCAGTGTGATAAGAGCTACCTAAATTGACAGAAACCATCTTTAGAAAAAATGTATTTGACGTGTACTTTAAAATTTTGATTTGGCCCATGCCCCACCTGCTAATGTGGAAAATGTGGGCTTTATGACCTATACTGCTGCCAGCCAACAAGGAGGCACTTTGAAGAGTTTTGCCATCATTATACACAGGCTATGGTGTAAAACCACAGAGGTGTTTGCATGCATATTCAGAGAAATTTGTAGAGCCCATCAGCCTTATTCTTAATGGGTTGAAATTGTAAATTTGGCACTGAGAGAGGCAATAAAGTATGTCATTTATCCTCTGGGGACTATGAATGCCCACAGCAATTGCATCTCCATTCATTACTTCTTTTTGCTATTACATTTGCAATTTATTACAAGATACAATTTTTACAAAGAATGTTCAGTCAAGAGGAAAGTTTGACCCGATGGTGGCACTAAAACATTCAGAGGTTCATTAAAATAAGTAGGATCTCTTCTTTTGCGACCACAAATTCTCTAGTAAAATTTTCACAGCAATCAAGCCAGTCCTTGTTAAGATATACTAAATTTCTCTGGATCAGACAAACAGAAGACTAAGTGACTAACCAACATTGCTACCATTATTCTATTGTTACAAAGGGCAAATGTGTAAAATACATGAGGTTGTTAGGCTGCCCGTTTGAAGTACAGCAATCACGTGTTGTGTTAATCATTTAACACTTCATCTTCTAGGAAGGATTCTTATTGTAATATTTATCATGCCATTTCATTATTCACCAACATGTTATTTTCTCTCCACACTGTATATGAAAGAATAATGTAGAGCTGCAGCACACTGATGTCAACACAAACTAGACTAACATCAGAGTTGTCCTGTTTACACGAGAGAATTCAAAGCTTTCAGTACAGACGGACGAGAACAGGAGAGGCTCTGCAGTATCACGCCTCACATAGTGGCATTAGGAAGAAACTAAATGGGGTCCTTCACACCTCTGCAATGACAATCACTTTGTGATGCACAGCACAAGGCAGGATGGGAGCCACTTTGTTCACACAGATTATGGTAGGTACACTCAAGGTGTACTCATTTCATGCTCAACTGTGTATGATGCAAATTACCTTTTCAACTTGTGGTCCTGAGTGGCTTTTGAGATCCATACAAAGTTGAAGAAATTAACAAAGTTTGTGAACAAAACCAACCAAACCAACAAAATAAATTTGATACTAGAGTGACTAAAAAAAAATGTTCAAAGTTATTGTAGTGTTTCAGGGGAGACTACTTCTTAGCTGATATATATATCTGTTGTTGCAGAATATATTGATTCTCTCCTAATTGTAAGTTTTTCTCTCAAATTTATATATGTTTAGACAGTACCAATGCATCTCTATTTGTGCATTTAATCCTCAGAAAATGTTCAGCTAACTATAGCTACTGATTGGTAAGGGCAAACCTGAATAAAGTAACCCCCAAATAAACTTGGGTTTATTTAGGGACAGATAATTATAATATCATATTATATATTTAAAGTTGTAATCCTTGGGATTCACTCAAGGTTTAAAGTTGCACAGGAAAGGTGGAGTCTGCAACTTCCAATAAAAACTACTATGCACAGAGGTAATAACTGAACGTAAATACATTGAATGGCAGAACAAATGCCAACCATAATATTTCATATTGCAGGGTTTGGTAGAGGTGATTAGTGTAAAACGTTTATCTAAAATATATCAAATGATTACATGAAGAAAAAAAAGATTTTTTCACATTCAATATTACTTTGTATGTTTTCTTAAATGACATGTTTAAATATGCAAATGCTACATACATACATTTCCAGAGCAGAAATCTGAATATTGGCTAAAGCCAGGTCCAAAATTCTTGTTTAATTTCATTGTCATATCAAATTTTTTTTATGTTATTTTTTACTACACTGTAAATCAGAAAATAATGTTAACAGCCTTTAACAAACACAGTTTGACCATGTTTTTAGGGATAAAATGTTTACAAATCAGGCTATGAATGATATATGAACAAACCCCTCTGTAATAACCTTCAGAATAAAGACAGGAACAAAATTGAAAAGTTTGGTGTCTGCAAGTAAAAAGCATTCTGAAAAAAATGCCCCCCAAAAATATATATATTGTAATGTACCATACATTTTTAGACCAAAAATATTTTTTTTTAATAAACAATGTCCAGAACAAAAATCTGACCTATAATAAACACCTAAATCTGCTTTTTTTTTTTTTTTTTTTATATTTTTCTTTCCATTAGTCACAACATTGACCAACATAAAACAAAACAATGTTTTCCCCTAGTGTCTCCCCTTAAGCCAGAAAATAAAAGATTTCAGAGCACTTCAAAAGTACACATTTGGAACACCAGCAACACATGTTGCTGTCATCCACACACATTGATTTGTTACTCAGCAGCTCATTGTCATGCCACTGCCATAAAAAATCCATCTTTGAATATTATTTCAGTCAAGGCCAAAGTGAAACACAAAAAAAAACAATTTAATGGGAACAGCAATTTAAGAGCCATATTTTTGCTTTAAGGGACCTAACATTCAAGCTGCAGCCATTGTGTTTATTTGCATAATATTAAAATTCATCAACTTGTCACATTATGAGCCTCATTCCTGCTGCTTCCTGTTCCGTCATGTACATGCAGAAGTCATTTTTCATTGATAACAGAGGTGGAACTGCATCTGGTGTGCTGCTGTCATCGTATTTTGAGGTTTCTCTTGCGATCAGCAGTTAGGAATAATTTTCTAAAAAATAACTGGGTCTCTGTTTGCCTTCCTCCAGGTGACCAGACAGGTATTTCCTGTGTGGTCTTACTCCAGTTTGGTTCTCCTCATCCCAGTCCTGCTGGTGACAGACTTCCTCAGGTACAAGCCTGTAATCATCCTCCAGGGGTTCAGCTATGTCACAGCGTTTCTGCTGATACTATTTGGCTCGGGGGTCCGATCAGCTCAGTTGGCCTTCTTCAGCTTCAGCATTGCCCTGGCAGCAGACGTGGCCTATTTCTCCTACATTTACAGCGTGGTGCAGCCCAGCTACTATCAGAGAGTGACCAGTTATGTCAGAGGGGCCATGCTACTGGGCTACGCTGTGGGCGCTCTGCTGAGTCAACTGCTGGTGTCTTTTGGGGTGTCCTTGTATTGCTTAGCTGTTGTGTCTCTCACCTCTGTCTCTGTAGCACTGATAACCTCCTTTTTCCTGCCAATGCCTAAGACTAGTCTGTTTTTCAAGGGAACATATTCCGCACAACAGGGTAGCTCTGGTGAGGACACTCACAACTCTGAAAGCCAAGACTTTTCCATGTGGGTGAAAATCACAACAGCTGCCAAGCATGTTGGGAGGATGTTCAGAGGGCTCGTATTGGACTGTAAGAAATGTTATTCCTCTGTGACTGTGCTATTTTACTGCATATGGGCAGCTACAGGGAGATGTGGCTTTTACCATGTTGTAGGGTACGTCCAAATCCTCTGGGAACATACACAGCCACAGAACTTCACAGCCTACAATGGAGGGGTGTATGGCATCAGCACATTGACAGGTAACTAATGCACCATTATTAGTACAATTTCAAACAGCTACAACGTTTAATTTACATGGTAATGTATCAGTTATAATAATCTAAGTTCAAATAAACACAAGAAGTTTGTGCTCTAGAGAAAGGATCAACACTCAGTGAAAAACCTAAGCCCTATGATAAGCTAATATGGCAAGGCTTAACTATACAAACCAATGAGCAGTGATAACTAGCATGTCTTTGGGGTCATCGGGTGGGAACCTCCTTTCACCAGTGTTTCGTCTAGTGTTATACATATGAGATTAAAGCAAAATTTTGTGTAAACATGCAGCTCTAAGTCATTTATTTTCACTTGTACAAAACCAACATTTGTTAATCAGAATATGTAACTACACTGCAGCTCGGCACAACACTGCTGATACACTATTATTTGCACATTGTGTGACTTAAAATGTGAATAAACATTTATAATCAAAATTAATAATTAAATGACATCATGGTGGGCATTGTACATCTAACAAGAAAAAAGAATATTTATTACATGGGGAAGGTTTAGTTTAAATGTGTTGTAGAACTATTACTGTTACTTTATCTACATAAGATCAAATATTTTGGTATGAAAAGCTGCATTTTTTATTTAACCAAGTATCCTGTATCATAACTACATGTCTGATGATTGTAACAAACCAAACCGCATGAAAATCGGTTGAGAATTCAGCGAGTAATGATGATTTTAATCAGAAATAGTCTCCTGCCTCAATAGACATGTATGCATTAGGCAGCACGGCTCCACCTGGGCAAGATGACGAGTGTCGTTGAATGCGGCATCTACGTATATATATTTATGAACGTTAACTCAGCGGGTTGACAAATGCTGGGGTGTTGTTGTCATACAGTTGTCTACGGCAGCAGATCGTTCTGTGTTTCTACTGGTCAAAGCAGTGTTTCCCACAGGATTTTGGGAAACTATGGCGAGGGGGAGTGGGGGCATCCCCCCCCCAAGAAAATTTTAAACATTGTAAATTGAAATTGAAATTAATTTGTATACAAAATGTACAGAAAGGTAAAATCATCAAGTTTTGAAAAAGTATTGCAATTTAATTTTGTCTTTAATGTTATTATCTTATATTATCTTTGTAATATGATTATCTTATATAATGTTATTACTATCCTAAAACATTCTCCAGGTCCTCTGAAACTCTACAGGACTTATTTCCACCCTGCCCAGCAGCAGTACCGTGGCGAACGGTCCCTAACTGCGGGGAGAACGGAGCAGGCTTCCCCGGAGGTCCGCCGCTTTTCCCGGTCCCTCTTCACCACACTTTGGGCTCTAGTTTCGCAGACCGGGCGAGGCGGGGGCACAGCGCACCTGCGCTTCGCCAACTGGGTGTGGCCAGGCGGATTTTGCAAGTTTGGCACACCGTGCGCGCCGGCGCAGCTATTCGTCTGTCCCACCTCCGTCCCTCCTACCTGCGCAAGTTGGAAAGAGGGAGGAGAGAAGGCGTGGAGTGGGTTTTACACACATCACACCAATCAAATGAGCCCCTCTCCTCGCCCTTAAATGTGCCGCGCGAAGGCGTAATGAGAGTTTACTCAATTCGCCATGGCAGAAGAGAGCAGCAGCGTCAGACGGCCAAACTTCTCCCAGGAGGAAACTGATGTTTTGGTCCGGGAGGTCCAAGCTCGCAGTGTCCGAATATACGGAACTGCGAGCAGACCTCCACGGGCTGATGATGCAAAGGTAGCCTGGGAGGAGGTCACCACAATTGTAAATCAATGTTGCGTTTCTCTCGTGCGCGCGCGCTCTCTCTTTCTCTCTCGCAGTCTCACTCTGTTTCTTTTCTTTTGACTTTTCTAAGATGACAGATGCTGAATATATACTCCCTATCTGATGCTGTGGCTGTTTGTGGTTGGCTGAGAGGGATGTGAACTCATTAGTTTGCAGCTGTGTTAATCAAATCAGGTTGGGTTTCCATTACGCGTGCCAAACGTGCCAAACGGTGCCAATCCCCTTTGATCTGACATCAGATGTGACGGGACAGTCGATATAGAGATACATTTATGTGCTGATTGCAGATAGTTGCATTGAATAGTGGTTTTTTGGGTATTTATTGCATCGTTAATGTGCCTGATATTCTGGAAACCTGCCTGTGAGGTTTTGGTGACGTGTGCGCACTGTCCGCCGGTCAGCCAAACTTCGGCTTACACCGGCTGCGCTCCCCCTGCGCTGACAGTAGACCTGGTTTCAGCTGGCGAGCTTTTAGCGCACCTTTGGCGAAGCCTTTTGGCACGAAACTGTCACTGCGCCAAGCTGGATCTGTCGACACCTCCCCCTGCTGCGCCACCAAACCCATCTCAGCGCACCTCAGTCTGCCAAACTACCAAACTGAGCACGCCTCGGGTTGCGCTGCTCGAAACTAGCTCTGCGCGGGGTTCGCCACCCTGCGCTGTGCCGGGAAACTAGAGCCCTTCGACTTATTTCCACCCAGCCGACAGTGGGACTTACATTCATTGTGCCGACAGTGGCTTGGAAAACCGCCCATAACCGTGTCACACGGGGAAGAGGGAAGAGGGAAGGCGGCTGGAGTTCCTCCAACATTTGCGGTTAGATTATCATATTTTTTTATTGACAAAGATATAGGCTGCTTTGGCTGATTTTTTTTTTTATGCGCACATGTGCCCCTAAATATTTTTTACAGTTTGCACACATGTATTTTTAGTCAAGTGAAACGCTGCACTGTCGAGCGCTGGATCTGACAGCCTGAGCACATCGGCACAAAATGTTACGTCGTTCGAGATATTATTTATATCATGAGAAGTCAATACTTTTGGCAGCCTAAATCTTTTATTTAGAAACTATGGCGGGTCAAATTAAACTATGGCAGGCCGCCATAGTTTTGTTAATTAATGGGAAACACTGGCTCAAAGTGACGGCTGTGATGGGAGAATTGGATCTCAGTGAAGGGCAAGTGGTCCATAACATTAATTTTGGAGACAAAAGAATGTAGGCTTAGCGCCCTGTGGTCCATTGCCCAATAGGAAATGTAGAATACTCAAAAGTACTTTAAAGTGCTTGAGTTACTTTTCTCAGGGAGTAATGTTGGAAGTACTTTTAAAGTAATTGAGTTACTTTACTCAGGGAGTAACGCAGTAAAGTAACTGGTTACTTTTTTCAAAAGTAACGCAGTAAAGTACTTTGATTACTTTTAAAGTAACCCTTACCCAACACTGGTCATAACAGTAGTCACACATTGATTTGGTCATCCCAAATTTCTGACACTGTCAGAAATGTCTCCCAGGCTATCTTTGATCACAAGAGCATTGACAACAGTCATCCTTGAACCTCTCTCACTGTGCAACATAGGGCCTACACGATGGTATCTTTCATCTGGGACAGCCCAAAATGCCAGTGTATAACGGGCTTAAGTTTGTTATGTAACAGGAAGGTAACAAGAATATCACATAACACTATGTATTGGTAAGTGTGAGGAACACCACGCATGCCACATGACATTAACTATGTTTAGTGGTTAAAAAAAATTAAAGTTGACTTTTGGTTTCACATGGGACACAAACAGCTGTCTCCTGGTTGAAAGTCCTGTGTGTGACCCATCAACCAAACTCCTCTGATTATCTTTATTTAGTTTTTCTTATCATGAAAATAATAATTATCTGGGCAAAACATTGCTACCTTCCACATTTCACATGCTTGACAGTTTGATTCTGCACTGTCACTCCAAATTATTGTACAAAATCTGAAATTTTCATTAAAGCTTATGGTTGTTATACACATTCCGCAACAAAAAATAATTGAATAAACAGAAAGAAAACACAATCCCTTTCTATTATCACTATTTCACAATCCCCAAAGTGCAGCAGACAATAGGAGCAGCATTAATTAGACTATTTAATTGCCTGCTCTCATCCCCAGATGGGTATAGCAGCTGCTGCCATCCAGCCAGTACACTTTTATTGATTATAGTACTGATACATTCCTGTATTCCCCAGAAGCCAAAGGCAATTACTCTGTGTAAACCACATCCAGCTGTATGCCTTTCACTTGTAAATGGTTCTGCCCAACATGCAGTCAAGCTGTAGGGCCCTGTGTCTGATATTTCCCCAAAGATTGCTGTTGTATTCTCTCTGTTCCACACTTAGAAAACATCCCTGAGGAACAAACCTGGTGGAAACAGATAGAGAAAATATGAATATGGATTACCAGCATGATAAAATATGGCAGAAAAGCACAACATAATTTACTATTTTCATATTCAGCTTATTAATAACTGTATGTCCCGGAGCTTGGAAATAACATTTTTTTTTAAGTTGCTCATTAGGCTTAAGATAAAACAAAATGCATGTGCAGAACAAACTGAGTTCTGTTCGGTTACATTGTTTTGTACAGTATGATTTCAAGGAGAGAGCATTACAGGACACCTCACACATTGATTTGTCTTTGGTCTCAAGCAGTAATTACAAATCATTTACACTTCAAACATTCATTTCAGTCAATGGATAATATATTCAGAACATGGTTTCAGTCAGGACATTCCCTTCCCCAGGTCAGAGATGTCCAAGGTTTTCCATTTAATTTGCCACAAAGCCTCATGCTGAATATATTTCCGTTTAGATTCAGGCTACACACTGGAGCTCAAAGCGTGCAAATTCAAATTTTACTCCCCCACACACAACATGCACGCACACACACACACACACACACACACACAGTATGATGTTATCTAATCAGCATGAAAAGCCAAACACAGCATGAGGTCACATATTTTTCCTCATCTATGCCACACACATTAAAAAAGGCTTCATAAGTAGTGTGCCCTGCATGCAGCTTATGTTTGAATCTTCAGAGCTACAATCACACTGAAACTGATGATGTCACAGTGAAACTAATGAAGTCATCAAAGTTAACTCAATTAGGGCTTGAAGACTACGCATTTTTAACAGAAAGCCCGAGTCACAAACACGGGGCATGGAGTGTGAAAGATGTGGGCATTTAAGCAAATCGCAAATACAGTGTCAGCATGGCTTTATGGATTGCCATGTCAGTCAGTCTGTCCAGTTTGTTGTTCCAGACATAAATATCCCAACAACTATTTGATGGGCTGCTATAGAACTTATATCAGCGGTTCCCAGTGGATTAATACTCTGGCTGTCTCTTTGAAGTTGCAGATATACTTGCCTTTAACACCGCATTTGGGTGCACATAACAGCTGCCTCATATATCAGCAATCTGTTTGGAGCATTGGTTGTGCACGGCCTCAGAAATTAATACTATGCATAGTAAGATGCAACACCCACATAAATGGTAGGAGCAGGATGTTGATGTGACAGGGTAAGGGGCATAATACATCCATGGTCAAAGGTCAGTAGGCACGTCTGCTGTGACAACAATGGCGGACGGTTTTGAAGACAAGCTAATAGACTAGCTTACATTTGTTCAATTAGGTGCATTTTTGATTTGCGCATTAAAGAAAACTAAGTGCAAACACCCAAAACTTGGGTGAAGAAAAAAAATTACACTGAGCAGAGTGTAAAGATGGTTTATGAATAAAAGGTAAATGCAACTTAGTCCAATGGAAGCAGATGATGATGACATCATGATGTGGTTGTGCCATTATTGCACAGGCCACTGCAAGCTCTCTTTGTCACCTCTGGGTGGCTCTTAACATGTCCATGTGTGCACACAGGGCTATAACCAGAACTCTTCCAAGAGCTCACACCTGTAATTTTAGTTGCTCAAAACTCTATATTTCCATTGTCCAGTGTGTTATTATATATCCATGGTTTTCCTTTGAAGTTTGGGTGGTGTTCTTTTGATAACATTATCTCATTGCACCCTCTTCTTCTGCAGTGGCCAAGTAGGTATAGCTGCTGCTAGAGCAGCTACATGACTTGCCCAACACAATGTGCATGTCAGTTGAAAATCAGCCCATTTTGCTCCTTGGCCTGGAAGCTGAAACCCTTAAGAGAATGCTAAGTCAGTGTTAAGCTAACTGTGAAGTTTAGGTTAAAATAAAGGATGGTTAAGGTTAGGGTAAGGGTAAGGTTACATCCCTTTTCTTGATAGGTGAATCACTTCTTTATGTATAATCAATTATAAAGTGAATTATTGCTTTGTTTGGCCCTATTTGTTCATTACAACATGGTGTTGTAGCAGGGTTTAGATAACCATGGCGTTGGTGGGTTTATATTGTACTACTGGTTGGCACAGTTTGTAGGGGTGTGTTGTGTACGCTACAAATGGAATGTGTCTGCAGCTATACGTGTCTTACAGTGGCACCTAAACAAGAATTAGCTCCACCTACTGCTTATCTTTATCACCCAACAACTATTCACATAATAGTTAAAAGCGCATAAACTCAAAATTTTCTTTTGCCAATTTTCTGAAAATTTGGTTAAAGTTTTGCTACATTTGGATGGAAACTTGTCTATAACCACTGCACAGTAACAAATACATGCCTTATGCACCATCTACAATGATGGTGCTGTTGCTTTTTCTGCATATGTCGTAACCTACTCAAGTCTCACTATGTTTATAGATTACATGATGCAGATCCGGTAATTTAATGCAGCCCGTTTGTCTGCATGAATGCATGGTTAAAAAACAAGTATATCTCAGGCCTAAGTTCCCTTTGCTGTCAGATATAAAATTGGTTAAATTATAGAATAAGTACAAACACTTATCCAGTTAAACTGAGATATGAGCGCCAATTTGGTATTTAGCATGAGCTGCTGTTTGAACATACTGTAAAGCCCAGCTGCGTTATTGATCCCCCTCTATGAAGCAGTACAGCTCCTGCTGACCCCTCTAAGCTTCCAATTGACACTGCTGGGGAAACTGGACTAATTATTCAGTGTCCGTTTGACCCTCCTCTGCTAATCAGAGCCAGGGGGATTGATTAAGTACATCTTAAAGGCCTGGGTGGTGTCCATGTTGGATTATTAGCGCTGATTGACCATGAATGGAGAGGGACTCAAAGGAAACGTACACATTTAAATGAGTGAAGCAATTATTCTCAGCCTATCTTTACATTCTAGTGGATAAAGAGCTCTGGGGTGAATAGATCCAATTCTCTGGGGACTCAGCGGTTTCCCTATTTACACTCCGCTCACAGAAGGCAAGTCTGGTTTAGTTTTTATTCAGTCCTCAGCAATTACAGGAAAGGTTTGACAAGGCAGAGGTAGTTACAGAATGTGATGAATATGTAGCAAGTAAGTCAATGTGAGAGAAAAAGATGGAGAGCAAACGGACAAAAGATAATTTCATAGGATAAAAAAAGGAAGAAAATAAGGAGACAATTGTCCAGAAATAATCAACCCTACAAAGTGTCTAGAGTCCCAAGCTTTACATCCATCCACGGAAATGAAGGCCACATAACACCTTTACATGTGGTGAGAAGAGCTTTGTGATGAATCAGGGCTGCACTGTGCCACCCTGTGGCTGAAATGGGAAGTGTCACTTTCCAAAATGCTCAGCTCAAAGTGCATTGATTAGATAATATGTACAATACAACAACCATATGAAAGGCATTTGATTTAAATCAAATCGTATGTTTTTATATGTCATATATGTCATTTCTTTTGTTTTCTGTGGCGTCATATGATGTTATGTTTTATGTTGTATGTACACTAACAAAAATGTATATGTGTGATGGCTGTGGACCCCAGGAAGAATAGCTACGGTTTTCCGTGCTAATGGGGATCCAAATAAACCAAACAAACCAAAATATGTGTCCAATACTGCAGCTCTTTCTCTGTAAAGATGCTCTCTCAAGCCCATACAGAGACACTTATCCATACAGTCCTTTTTCTGTATATTCCCCGTCATTAGGGTTGACAGTTTTAGAACCTTTTAACATCAGGGCAAAGTCATTATCAACGGCATAAGTGTGCAAACACAGCCATGCCAGCATATTTCTGAAAGTCTGTGTCTTTTTATTTTTTGTCTATATGGTGTTAGATTAGCCCCCAGCCTACTTTTGAAAACTTCTCTCTTCTGTGTGTGTGATTATTCACTTCTTCTCATGTAGATTTTCTGTTGTCACCCAGGCGTAATGTAACCATATGTTTGTGTTTGTGTGGCAGTTTTATTTCATTTGCATAACTAACTCTTGAAGTATTGTGGTGAGTTCAGAATTTCTATCAAAGTTTCTAAAAGAATTAGAGCATAGAGAGATATTGGTTTTTCCAAAGTGCAAAGATTTAAAGAATCTCACCAATAATTACATATTTGCTGAACAGTTTATGTATTGATCTGTATTCGTTACTCCTTCATGATGCACTGACTGACAGAATGATTGTGTTCTCCTTAAGGTGCTGCCGCTACTATTGCTGTGGGACACGTGTCCCTGGACTGGTCCGTGTGGGGGGAACTGGTCCTGGGAGGTTTAACGTTCGTGATCGCTGGGGCTATACTCCTAATGGATCTGACTGACGACATCTGGATCAGCTATGCATGTTTCTTCCTCTTCAAAACAGTTTACATGCAGCTCAGCACCGTCTGCACGTAAGAATGCATTATGAATGTCTCACTAGCTAAACATGCATATGGGAATGGCAGTTGAGGAATTCACGAATACTGTGTATCAGTATGAACACATTCATAAATTTACTGTGCAGAATTTAAACATATGATGCAATAAATGCACCATCACCACAATATGTTTTGCATTTTAACCAAGTCATGTGGCTTGTGAGGCATTATAGACTGTTATGGGTCTGTGGTGAGTGTAGAGTATTCTAAACTGCCAAACACATCCTGACCATATTTAATGTTGTTTAGAACAGTTGTGAAATGGATGATTTTATTGACACTTTGTGCAGGTTACTCAAACTTTTTATTGGCACTGTCTTGGGTAATTTTGGCTCCAGCCATGCTGTGTGATTTAAAGATATAAATCTATAAATACAAAATGTTATTTCCCCACATTTTTGTAATTGTGACCCTCACGTCTATCTTGTCCATGCTGTCTGGGACTAAATGAAAACTCATTTTTAATTAGGGATGGCAATGTCATTCTGATGGTTGTTTAGCCCACTATATTGGTCCAAACTGAAATATCTATTGTTGGATAGATTTCTGTCACGGTCCCCAGAGGATGAATCCCACTGACTTTAGTGATCCCCTGACTTTTCCTCAGACATCTCCACGATCTTGACATTTTTACTTTTAACTGAAATGTCTCCACAGCTTTTGGATTGATTGCCATGAAACTAGATACAGATATCCATGTCCCCAGAGGATGTATCCTCATGACTTTGGTGATCCCCTAACTTTTGTTTTTGTCCAGTATTTTTGTCTAAGACCAAATACCTGCCTCAGATGTAGCTTACTCTGTTAGCATGCTAACACCCAAAACTAAAGTGTTGACTATGGTTAATATTACCTGCTAAGTATCTTCATGTTAACATTGTCAATTTGGGCAGAACTAGTTAAGTAGCAGTTCAAAACGGGCCTGTTTGGAATGGGCCAATTGCTTAGCATCTTGTTTTGCTGCTTGAAGCTGTCTCAAGAACCACTCATCCACACAATGTCAAACTCATCACCGCGTTTTCTTGGGAGTATATGCGTCCTTTGCTATCAACTAGCTATTTGGGACCAGCCTGATTCCAGAAACAAAAGCGTTCATCTCAAAAACTTCATCTTGCTGATGCACGAGATGGTCAAGTTTGCTACAGTGCAACATCTCCAGTCTCTCTTTCTTCATCTGTTAATGATGTACTGTACTCCGCAACGGAGAATGAGCTGTACCCAGCAAGACGTTCAGCAGTGTAACAGTTAATAGGGGTCCCCTCTCCATACACTACACAGTGTGTACATAACACTCCACTAATAAATATGTCCCGTAGATCTCAAAAGCTGACACTTGACACTGCACTTCCTCAGCAATACACCCGTCAAGTGTGAATTCAATGGGATAAATGGTTGTTGATAGAAGACTGAAGGACAGGCATACAGACAGAAATTCCTTCCATTTTAGTAAGATAGCATGCTGAGGTTAGCATTGAGCTCAAGTGCAGTATCACAGAGCCACTAGAGTGGCTATAGACTCTTAGTCTACTTAAAATTAAGGTGCTACTTCAAGATTCAGCCTGATCTCGTTTATCTTTTCTTTTTTTTTTACCTTATTTGATTGTTCTTTGTTTTGTGTCCTAGAAGAAGAAGAAGAATTCATTTTAGTGCGTCAGCACTTCAATTATACTGTGCTGCGTCTCATGTACAGTATATTTATTCTAGTTTTCAGATAGCCAAGACGCTGAAAATGGAGCGCTATGCATTGGTATTTGGCGTGAACAGCTTTGTGAGCACAATCCTCCAGAGTGTCCTCGCCGCTATCATCAACAACACTCTACAGGTCACCATCACCTTGCAGGTACTGCTGTACTTACAAATCATACACTGACTTCAGGAGATGATTTGATTGTATGTCCATGTACTAAAATGTTACATAATGCTTTATATTTTGTTTTGTAATCCATTGTGAGCGGAAGATTGAGTAAAATGGACAGAAATGGGGTTAGGAAGAGCTTTTACAATAGGTTAGAAATTGTTTGAAGCGCATTACGTGGACATATGGAGGGAGACAGACCACCAAAGATGAAAACTAATTCATTTTTAAGTCTTCATCCAAGTAATCCTCTCATTTCTTTTCAGTTCATTGTCTACGCCTCGTACTTTGCTGCCATTTCCCTGCTGTTCACAGTCAGAGGTATGTATACTCTGCTCGACATTAAACGTCCTGTCGAAAACAACCAGGCAGAGAGAGCCACCAACTTACCAGAGCCCACACGTCTTTGAAGACCCTCAAGACAACATGAGGATTATTATCACTGTCATCAATTATTACAGCAGCAACAGAACCAGGAAAAAATGCTTGGAGATATGAGTGCATCAAGATATTCAATCCATCAAAACGTCTCTGCGGTTGAGTTATTTATCAGTCTGTCATCAGCAGGATTTAACTAATCGATTCTGCAGACGTGCTGTGACTGAAATACTGAAAGTGCAATACCAACATGTGGCCACAAGAGGACACTACCTGCACAATATAAAATAAGGATGCCACCACCATATAGCAGCTCTGCGGTGGTTTTAATTTGAATGCAGAAATATTAGATTGTCATTCTGTAAGTGTGTTTTTAAAGTAAATATTACTAGTTTGCTAGAAAGAGTCAACAGTTTTGGAAATTCAAAGCTATGAGTCTGTGATTTCAAAATGTCAGCATGGAAAGACTTTTATGTATATGTAGACTAAATGTACATGCAGTATTCACATATGCATGGACCTGCCTGATCCACAGTTGGTCTAGTGTTTGCTTTTTGTGTGTTGTGGTTGATTGTGCCCTCAATATTCGGGCTCATCATTTTGAAACTAGTAGTGATCAGGCGGGCATGATTATTTATGTAAGCTCTGTTACAAATCCTGCACAGCCCAGACAGGACAAACAGCCTGCTCTCATTATATTCTGTGAGTATCATTCACACACTTTCTCTTGTGCTACTTAAAGTGAGACTTCCTGATTTTGTTATATCCCAGAGCTCTCTGAATGCCTCTCAGCTCAGTGTTCATGTTTTCATATTTAATCAGCAATAAGCTAGGGGTATATTTGGTTAGTTAGGGGCATTTTTAGGTGCAACAGGGAGCATATCTTGCTGTTGCCAGGTAACCAGTCCATTTGTTTTTTAGGCTTAGAGCCTTGATTCAGTCTGCTGTAGCTACTCATGTTTGTGTGTGTGTGTGTGTGTGTGTGTGTGTGCAACCACTTTTATTAAATATTTGTATAAGCGTGCTTGTATAAATGTTTATTTCCAGGAAGTTAAGAAGTAGGACTAAACATGCTGTAATCATTGTCCTCCTTGGAAAAGCCGCCTTATTCAAATCAGTTAATTGCTGTGACTCTCAGCAGGTGGTGCATGAACCCAATGCTCCAATTCCATATGTTTATATTAGTCTATAAGCAAGCTCTGTCCTCAATCATGAACACCATACAGCAGCCAGGCAGACAGAAAATAAAATGCAAACGACCCTGTGGTCAGATGATGCATGTGTAGTCACGTCTGACCTAATTCATAATTATAACAGTAAAATAATTAAGGTTCCAAGATGGATGACAGGGGTAGCTATTAGCTGAAATGAGCTGGCATATTACATGCGTCGCTCATGCTAATTGATCATAACTTGACAATGACATGTCCCTTGCTTTTGTCTGGCTTTGTCATTTAGACTCTTATTAAATGTATAGTGAAGAGCTTCCTTGCCACTCAAAACTAAGGCTAGGAAATTAAAGATATCTAATTGCAACATTATTAGGTTAAATGCTAGATAGATAATTTAATGAAGTCAATAAAGATATCAGTCAGCTACAACAATATTCTTGTTTTTTTTCCCCTTGCTTGTGTTACTGCAGGTCATCTGCTATAAATTAAATAAATACTAATAAGTTAAATAAGAGTGAAGACAGGTATGCATCTGATTAAAGAAAGGGTCAGTTAGTTCTAAAGAAGATGACACTGTGTTAAGGTTAATGCATGCATATGTGTGCTGTTGTGTGCCCATGGCTAAAAAAAGTATCCTTGAGTATCCTTGTTCTTCAGTGGTTATTCTTTTGTTTTTATGATAGCGTCTGTCTTACTCACCCCTTTGTTTACCAGAGCAGATGGTAGGTTCCATGTTCAGGCGAGACTGAATGAAAATATCTTCCTATATAATGACGAAAAAACTGTCTGTGTGTGTCTGTCTGTGTCTCTGCTCCATGTTTTTCTCCTCACTGACTTGGTCAATCCATGTGAAATTTGGCACAGTGGTAGAAGGTCATGGGAGGATGTGAATGAAGCAATATTACATCAATTGGCCAAAGGGGGGCGCTATAGCAACCGATTGAAATTGCAAACTTTGAATGGGCATATCTCATGCCCCGTATGTCGTAGAGACATGAAACTTTGCACAGAGATGCCTCACCTCATGAGGAACACATTTGCCACAAGAACCCATAACTTCCAGTTATATAGATTTTCTGCCATTTTGAATATTTGAAAAACTACTTAAAATCGATCTCTTCCTAGGAAGTTTGACCGATCTGCATGAAACTCGGTGAACATAATCTAGGGACCAATATCTAAAGTTCCCTCTTGGCAAAAGTTGGAAAACTTACTAAAACTGAGCTTCTATAAGGCAATGAATATTGCGGAGGGCGTGGCTCATCACATAAAGGTGTATAACATCTCAAGGGTTTCACCCATCACCACGCAACTTTGTAGGCATATGACCACACATAATCTGAGGGGAGCCCTCCATTATTGACCCCATCAAACAAAATGGGGGCGCTAGAGAGCTAATTTCTTATCTAGGCCTAACTGCCATATCGATTTTTACTAAACTTGGTAGATACGTAGAACAGGACGCCTCAAGGTGACTGGAGAAATTTAACTCTAATTGGCAACTGGGTGGCGCTATAACAACAGAAAAATGCTTAAAAATGGCTAAAATGCTACCGATCGCTGTGGCTCCCCCCTGTGGCCAAATGTTTGGGGTTATTTTTTAATTTTTGGTATGACTAAGTCATGGTATGGTATGCTGTACATAACCACGGAAACTGTCAGTGTGTCATTCTGTCAGTCAGTCATTCTGTCTGTCCCACGTTTTTCTACTCACTGACGTGGTCAATCTATGTGAAACTGCGCATAGGCATTGAGGATTGACATAGGTAGAAGGTGACAAAGCTACCAATGGGTATGGACTAGTCAGTCTGTAACAGAAGTATCGGTGTCTTGTTTTGAGGCTGATTCTAGCTATGATAACAGCATGGCTCTAAGGATGGCAATGCCGTTGGGTCTGTTCATCACTTTTTGTACTTTTTGTTTGGTGCTAATTAGCAAATGTTAAGACTAAGATGGAGAACATGGTAAATATTTAACCCACTTAACAAGTTATTTCCATGACCTAGGAAAGTTCAAACAATATTTGTGAACGTGAACTACTCTCTCTCAAAGCCAGAAACCAGAACAGTGAGTCTCACATCATAGGATATAAAGTCTGGAGCTGCTCCATAGACAATCTATGGTAGACTGATTTTGTAGACCCACAGACTGTTTGTTTTCTTTATGAGCTTTATTCTATTGTAATGTTCACAGTTCTGAAACAGAAAATGTACCCATATGCCCAAACATTCCTCTTTGTGCTCTCAGTGTCCTCTAGACCATATTTCCTAACTAATTGTCTATGGAGCAGCTCCAGACTTTATACTCTATGACATCACAAATTTGAGTTTAAGTGCTCTAGTTTTTGGACTGAGAAGAGGGATGGTCATTTTAACTTGTATTTTTGAACTGTCTCAGACTATAGGAAATACACGTGAATTTTGAAAACGGCATAGTTCCCCTTAACATCAGCGTGTTAACCATGTCAAGGTGAGAAACTGAAAGGGTTTTCTTTTTTATCTTCCTCTATGACCGTTTCTATGGTTATTAAAACTACTGGTTTTACTTGGACATCTGCCCTTTTGTTGTGGCATTGCTCATGATCCCTTCAAAAATTGTTGCAGTGCCAAGCAATGTCTGCTGCATATTTTGGGATATTATGACAATATAGAAGCACAATGTACATATGGTCACACGTACAGTTGGAATCAAACCATGCATACAATCTTATGTCATTATCATTTGAGATACATATTCAAAATAATGCACTTCCAAGGTACTTGAGTGATATCATAAGGTTAAAGTCTTAAAGGGTTGTCTTAAAGGGTTGCTTCCCCCAATTCACAAAAATTATAGGCCTACTCCCTTAATGACTGCTAGTGGTATGTAGCTTGTTTTATGCATTTATATATATCTCTGGACACTCTCCTCTCTCTCACTTAAGTTTTAAATATCTTTAAAGCTTTGAGGGCTACAAATTGAATTCTGTTTGTCTCCATGATATACATTTCTGGGCATCAGGCAATATAGTTTTAGGAAGCCAACAGCGAGGACCACAATATATCATGGAAGGATGTATTCACAATGTTTACTGTTATGGACAAGGCAAAATGACACAAAATCAGGCTTTCACTCTCAACATAGAAGGGGGGAGCAGAGACCAAGGAGGACGAGACTATCGGTCAACATTGCTACTACATTGCTGGGTATGTGCCGCCTTTTCTCCTTATGGGATCAGTAAAGTACTCTGTGTATTTACTGCTGAATACAGACCATGGTGCTGACCTAACATTAGTTTCTCTTAATTGTAGAAAGATAAGAAAGTTACTTCAGGGTGGCATGTAGCCTTAAAGACATAATATAAACAAAGGGATGTTGGCCTTGATCTGGCTAAGTCATGTGAAAAGGATGTTAGCAACCTACCAGCAGTGATATAGGGGAGAAAAGTTAGGACAGGTCCAAGTCAGGGGCTCAAAAAATAGTTAAAAGTAATACAAAATTATTACACCATCATCATTAAGAATTTTTTTTTCAGATATAGTAATACAATTAATGATCTCTTTGTTTTTACTTGTTTTTGGCAGTAAGAGTTAAATATACGCATTGACCAAAAAGTAAACATCCATATTGACTGACCACCCCCCTGTATCTGCATGAAATGGTTTGGTCCTGCCTTAGCACACTGACTGGTGCCTAGTAGCAGTCAGCAGTTGCGCTAGAGCGCTACAGTTATCATCATGCCACCTGGTACTAAAAGAAAATCTGGTTTTCACAAAAGGAAAGAGAGAAAGGAAAGAGAGGAGAGGCAAAAGAAAGGGTGTCATTGTGTGACCCAGTTTGTCTCCAAGAAAGGTGGGTAGCCTATAGTCTGTGAGTGGTAG